TCGCAGATTCTGCTGTGATGCCCAACCTAATTGAATGGTCTTCGCTTGAGACATCTAGTTCATGCACCGTCTGCATGGATCCATCAAGTATATCGAACTCATCAGCGCCCGCCCCTGAGATTGTCCGTGTGGAAACTTCCATGATGTCCGCCATATTACTACGGGTGGCGTTGTGGCTACTACCAAGTTCGAAATATACCTGTGTTTGCGTTTGCGTTGAAGCATCGAGCACTTCTACTTTACTCTTTGGCTTCGAGATCGTGACACCTGCTGGGGTCTCTGTCTGGGTGCCAGCATTCACATTTGCGAGACAGACCAATCCCTTAGTTTCCACCTCCGTTTGGCACAGAAACACTTTTGGACTTTTATATTTTGTCTCGTGCCTCTCGCCCCCGTTCCCAGTGGATGTTGGTTCAACAAATTGGAACAGTGAGGGCGCCATGACTGGAGACGGTGGTGGGGCGAACGGGTTTCTTTCGACGCCACTCTGATCTATACAGGGCTCCCAGTCGTCCTCCCTTCCATCCCCCGACAACCACAGTTCTGTGCTCAGTGCTGAGGGCGTGCGGTTTCCTTGGTCCCTTTTCCTGCGTTTCCTCAGTGCAGCAAACTCCCTCTGTAAATCCTTTAGGTTTTGATTTGCAACAGCAAGCTCGGTACTTTTCTCCCAGAGCTCAGATTCTAGGCGTTCGGTTTCCAATCGTGTAGGCCCTTGGTGTAGCTGACACAGTAGCGTGTCCCGTTCCGATTCGTATTTGCTGATCACCGCGAGACAGCCGTTCTTCTCGCCTATCAGCTTGTCTATGTCACTTTTCATTTCGGCCATATCTTTCACCATTTTGGAAACCGTTTCTTTGAGTGCCTTCCTATCCTTTTCCGTACTCTTGAGCGACTTAGCACTCGATTGAAGCTCCTCTTCAAGTCGTGATTTGTCCTGCTCGGCAATTTTGATGAACAACTCTTGATTTTGTAGCTGTCGCTGGAATTCTTCCACTGCTGCTTTCAGCTTTCCGATTTGTTCTTGTTGCTCACTCATGTCGTCTTCTTGAGTCAGGATGCTGGAGTCAAATTCTTCCGCTCGCTCCTGTAACACCTCATTTTCCTTGAGGTAATGGTTAACCAACAGAGTTTTGCGCGCGATAATTTGAATTTGTTTGATCATGATGCCCTTGATGCATTCCAGCTTGCTCGAATCCGGCACATCATCTCTCCCGAATATCTCCTCTATTTTTTCAATACCAAGTTCTTCATCCGAAGGTATGTCTGCGGGGCTCATTATTGAAGCATCGTTTATTTCACCCTCAGACTCAGGCCCTTCTAACATCTCCTCAGGTTTGTTCACAAAAATTGGAGAGCTGTCATCTGCATCAGCTTGGCGCTCTAGCAACTTTTCCGACTTTCTAGGGCGAGGCATGTTTCTTTTGTTGCCAGGCTTTGCGAAACTCGGACCTTGTCCGCTACCAAGGGCAGTGAATGCTTGTTCGTCTGCCGCATTATTTCCAGGGCTAAACTCACCCCTTGAGGGCTGCCCGTTCTTGGGAACTGTGCCCTTGACATTGCAGACATCATGGAGTATGAGGGATTTAAGCTCACCTCCATTGCCTGGAGATGGCGCCCGGCTGCTTGCTCCGTTCCCTTTGCTCGATCGCGCATTGGTATCGATCGCCACCGCCCTCATCGTAGCTGCCGCAGATACCACGGCTGAAACAACGGCTTGCTTAGTTCGGCCCGACCTGGTAGATTCAGAACTGCTACCATCCTTTACAGACTCTTGGTCGGTAGTAGAGGACTTCTTCTTGCTCCTAGTCTTACCAGTCTTCTTTGTCCTTTTCCTTAATTCGCGATATGCAAGAGTAGCGTCTGCCATGACATTGTTCGAGCTACTACCCGCACTCATGGAGCTTGGGTCATATTGAATATTTCGTTTAGTAGTTGGCTTGCTGGGCGATGGTTGTCTGCTGCTCAATGGCACGTGTATATCGGTGGCGACCCTGCGGAACGCCTTCGCGGACATGTCTAATCCCTCACTTCCAGACACTGGTTCTCGCTCTGTAGTTTTGCCCTTCGGTTCGTCGCCATTTCTACTGCTTGGAGCTGGACTGGGCGTTGTCGATCGACAATTATTGCCAGCATTGGCATTTTTATCGCATCGCTGTTCTTCGCCAGTTGACTGTGTACTAAACTTGGCAGAGCGTTTCGGTGGAGAAGGTGTTCTCCTTGCAACTGCAGAACCCTCAAGTCTAGAGCTCGGAATGTTTTCTTTTCCCGTTTCACTGCTCATGTTCTTTCTCCTTGAACCCCGTGTTGTCGGATCATTCAGCTGGCTTCCTCTACTGTCCATGGCACCCTTCCTGATTTCTGTCTTTGGACTAGAATCTTGCTCGTTTATTTTCGATCCCGGCACGTCCCGGCCCTCCTTGCTTAAGAATGCTCCGTGTTTGGTATTCTTATTCCCCGGGGCAATATTCTCGTTTGGAGAATTCGCACTCCCCTTCATTGGATTTGCTGAAGATGGTTGCCCTTGTTTGACATGAGTGTTCTGCCCTTTGCTGCGGGCAGGGGATTTCTCCATCATTTTCTTTCCGTCCATCTTCTGTTTGCTGATTAAATACGAGGGATATGAGATACCAAAGTGATGAGACTCGGTTCGACCTATGCTAGGCCGGTGATAAACGTGGTTCAGAATTTCGAAGATGAAGATTAATTAGGTTGAAAGCATAACCCCGGGGCTTTGGTAGGTAGCTGAGGGAGTTGATTACTTGAAAGGGGTATGGCTTTGTTAGATGCAGAACTATCAATGCCAACAGGTTGCTCGGGCTGGTTAACCCTCCAAAGGGATAAAAAAAACTTAGTGCTTCTAGAAGCGGAATCGAGGACAGGGGACGTTATCGTTCGGGCGTAGTAGAGGCATGCATCAGTTGCTTTGTTTGTTCTTTGGATCGCTTCGAGTGAACAAGGGGCAGGCGAATATGACGGTTCTACTGGTTCAGAGGATTGGGGAGTTCATTTGACGACCAGCAAGCAGCGATAAAGTAACACACGAAGACTGCGTTGCTTCTGGGATAATTGACAGTATAGGCACGGTCCAAAGGATAGAAACGGTGGGGCTTTGGAACTCGCTCTGCAGTCAAGTCAAGAGGGCACCGTCCAATTCACAGTGAAAGAAATCCAGTAAGCGTAAAACAATGGACGAATCACTACACAAGAACGACTCCCATACTCTGGAGAACGGGATGAAAGGCAGAGAAGAGCGAGAAAGGGACGAAACCATATTTTTGAGATCTGTGTGTCCAACTAATATGGGTGAATGGAGCTACCTCATGAGAAGGGAGGGACTTGGAGGGGGCTCACCATTCACTCGCCGCTTGAAGCTGGTATTCCTTGCCATTTTCAACAATGGCGAAAACGGCTTCGAGTATATGATGATTGACTTGAGAAAACTGGCAGCCTACCATGCGTATTAGATATTTGCCGGGCACTGGAGGAACCAACAGCGCTTGGATACGACCCGAAACGCCGCCCAGCAACACAATGCACCCAGGCAGGCGGAGGTGTTTTCGAGTCTTGCTCATTTTGAGTCTTCCTCAGTATTTTTGACAGCATCTAGATGACTAACAAGATATCACCCATGCCCCGCTGTTATTTGACAACGGCTGCATATAGACCGCAGATATAATAGTCCTGATACACATCTCACGCTTTGGCTTCTCCAAGCCAAACGGTACGTATTGAACGACCGATTTGGTATCATATGAGTGTTTTATGACAGGAGTACGGAGTATTAGGCTTTTTTAATAACGACGTGCCCTTTTCATCCCGATCTCTGGCTTCTTTTCTTTTCTTGCTTTGTTCCTTTCTTCGTCACCTTTTTCACTCGTTCGCCGTCAATGAATCATGAAGGCTCCCACCGGATTTGTTCCTCAGGGCCATGGAGACAAAGGCAAAAGGTATTTGAATATTTGGCCTTAAGCTGGTTTCGTCGTGTGTTTCTCAACAAAGAATACTCGCTCAAACGAGTACATGAACAGTACTCGAGACTTGCCCATAATTCTCTACGCTGTTATCCGGTTGAAATGAACCCCCTAGGGATGGCCAGGAAGGACTTATGAAAAGCGATCTATTCAGAGAAGCACAATTTTCTTTCAGAATTTATCCCAAGACAAAAATTACCATCATAGGAGTATTTACCACAAGTTCAAAAATAATGGTGCTCTATTCCGTATTCATAACCAAATAGGGGGCCAGGACAAACAGACCAAGATGAAAAAGAAAGTCTAAATTTGAACAGAAAATGCGCACAGTCGGAGTCGAACCGACGATCTTCCCGTTACGAGCGGGACGCCGTAACCACTTAGCCATGCGCGCTGATTACTGGATTGGCAAACGCCGGAAAAAGTTATGTGTGGGTTGCCACCATATGCTCTGGGCCAGCTTGCTAGCGCGGTATCTTTTATATGGCCCTTTCCTCGTCAGTACTGTAATATGTGATTGAAAGAGAGGTAATAAAATATTTAGCGCACAATCGCTTGAAGCCAAGATGCTGAGCTAACAGCAAAAGATATTTACGAAACCCCGTGATCTTTTCCCATTTGACCAGTATAAAATTCGAAATAGATAAGGGCTGGTTTGTTCAAAGGATGCGGTATTGATGCATAAGATTTTGTAGTAGTTAGTTATATATAACATTGACATTCTAGTTAATCCAGGTATGTTATCATAGATTACTGAATATTTCAGTAAGTTCTCATTCTACTACAGGCGAGATCTTGTGTAGACAATATAAATATACTCGGGGTGTAAGATCAACGGTACAAATTACCAGCCCATGATTGGACATGACCAAGTCGCCAACTAAATAGCAATTGAAAAATAGGAAAAAACTATACAGTAAAAAGAGCCGTTTTCTAGATTTCCACAAACCAAAGACCTCAAAAACGAACAAAACAAATAAATGTTGGAGTTGGATTGGAAGAAAAAGTAAGTAAAAAAAAAAAAAAACTTGCCCCCGCGCGGGATTGAACCGCGGACCTCATGATCTCATTAATTACAAGTCATGCGCTACTACGACTGAGCTACAAGGGCTCTCTATTGGTGCTCATTTCTGGCACAAAATTTATTTCAGAGCATTTGGAATAGGGCGGAGTAATATTTTCCCGCTACATACTAGTTGATGTAGTAAATTGGAACGGTGCTAGGAAGCAAGGACATATATTCTCGTGAATGTACGGGTACTAGTAGTATATACGGAGTATGGAATTTAAGGTACGTGAAATGGTAGAAATAATGTAAGGCGAAAGCTGTCCCAAATCGACCGGAAGTACCAAAGTGTGACCGAAAACATGCATAGTACTAGTACTACTAAACTCGACTCGAGAGCACGACAGAAAGAAAAAAAACCGCCCGGTATTCTGACTAAAACCTAGAATCCAAGCTAATTGGAACTCATATACTCCGTATGCATTTTACATATTCGATTTCGCTTTCTTCATTCCTGCCACACCTGTCACCTCGTCACCAGAGAGGAGGAAATCCGGATACTTGAATCCGGACTTGTTGGCCTGGTTCTGGAAGCGCCAAGCAGCACCGTCCACTAGTAGTGATGGTAAAAGAGCACAACAAGTTAGTTGATTTTCATCGTGGAGTGGAGTTAGAAGGGCATAAGAAAGGATGTGTAATATTTTACAGCGTAGTACTTACCGACGAGATTTGAGCCATTGACATAATTTCCGGCATCTGAAAAGAGGTAGATGGTTGCGTCTGCTATTTCTTTGATGGTGCCCCATCTTCCTGATGGAATTATGGACATCCGGTCCTTTGCATCCTGCGTACGAGAAAGGCGTTGCATTCCCTGATGATTCGCGGGAAAGTGTCAGAAGTAAGGTTGTTTTATGATCAGGCAGGGGTGTTTGGGTGGATTGGAGCAGGGGCTGGGCCAGAATAGGAATAAGTTAAAATATTTCCCGAGACTACATACTTCGGTGCCTCCGATTGGCCCCGGGGATATAATATTAGAATTGACACCCCGAGGACCGTATTCGATTGCCACGTTATTAGACAGCGAGTCTACACCGGCTTTGGCAACTGCGACATGCGTCTGGAGCGGGATTCCAGTGTAGTGGATTGTTGCACTGACGAAAATAATTCGTCCGCCGGTGCCCGTGGGAGAGGCTGTTTTGGTGGTATTAAGGCAATTAGCTATTGTGATGGTGGTACGTAACTACAGGTAGGGACTCACGAGTAGTCCCATCACATTTGTGTTTCGTAGCAGATTCAACGAGATAAGGGATGGTGGCTTTTAGGGTGTTGTACGATCCCAAAACATCGATGTCCATGACTGACTTGAAGGCGTTGACGGAAAGCTGATCTATGGAGGCGAGGAAGTTCCCGGCCGCACCGGCACTGAGTTTTGCAGAGATTCAGATTAGGATACGGAGTATTTCATTATCTCCTCGAGAATCCGTGGGGCTTTCAAAGCGGGAAACCAGAATGGTGTATACACACATAACGAAGTCTATTGAGCCCAATTCTTTTACACAGCGCTCAGCCGCACTTTGCAGACTATCGAAACTTCGTACATCAACACCCCCCTGCCCGATGACTTTGGCGCCAGGGCGAGCTGTAGCGATATCTTTCGCCATTCCCTCTGTTTTCTCGATATTCCTTCCGAGAATGAATGCATTGGCGCCTAGATACACCATCGCCCGCACTTGGGCGCTGCAAATACTGCCTGCACCTCCAGTACAGAATACGACTTTGTTTTCTGTTCCCTTGGGCAGATGCTTAGTCCGGCTCTTTCACTCTGACCGCGGAGCTTACGTTGTTGACGCTGGCAATCATAAAGGGAGCTGGAACATACCGAAAATGCCTTCCTTCCACACCTCACTGATATATGCTGACTTGGGGAGAGACATGGTGAATAGAATTCCTGGGGAAACAGTGCGGCTTGTACTATGTGGACCGATATGGGATGGGCGTATTGGTTCACTCGGATATCACAGAAGGCGTGACAAGCTGAAGCGCAAGATATTTAACCTGTTGAATGAAGGCATATCTTGGTTTGTTCAGATGTCGAGACGTTGAGGGAAAGTTATACAAGGGTGTGGGGAACCCATTATGTGGGCCGGCGCAGCTCTCACAGGTCCGAGTTGGTAACCCGCTAGACCTCGGCGCGGCAGCGTACGGACGTATGCACATACCACGGCAGTGGATTAATAATATTGGGAGACAAAGTCCATGGGCGGTAAGAAAAATATATACGCGGCTATTTGTAATTCACTTTCTTTTCTCTGCTTCTACTCTTCGACTGCCTTGGTTCTTTTGACATTCCGCCGGGCAGGGATATCCGTTGTAAAATCATCCTCGGCATACCCTACTCCATATTAGCAGCTTGACTACTATTCCGTACTCCAGACTTCTGGCTATGTACTACTGTACAGTGTACTAGTTAACTACTAACTGGGGGCAAGTGTGGAGTGACGTAATAACCTAGGGGCATAGTGAACCGATAACAAGTTGAAAGCAGTTTGATGGGGGATTTTCATCTTTGGCCAGAGATTTACTTTTACGGGAAGGTAATACAAGGATGTAACTAACCGTTTGTTCCATTTACTTTTAGTCGCTAATTTGTAGTAATGAAAGAATCTAAAAAAAAAAAAACAAGGATTCTTATGTTCATGCTACTTTCTGTCTGTCTGCTCTCCCTGCTATGGATAAGTTGAACCATGATCATGATCATCATAATGGCCTGAATGGCTCTGTGGTGGATTACAAAGAAGGTGCCCCTTTTGAATATTCTTCATTCTGTTGTTGCAATTCTCACTCAAAAACATTTTTCTGCTACGAAGTTTGTATATAAATCAACTGATTCCTTCTCTGCTTACAACTGGCAGCTTCATCCACCTGCGGGGCCTGCAGTAGAGAAATGACTGTGTTGCATCTCTTCATTCTACTGAGTAATGCCCTGGTTGCTTTGGGGAGCAACCAACCCTGTTCTGCTACTGCCAGTGCCATACACGTAGGTCATCTTATGAACTGAGTTTATTGAAGGTATTAATGGATGACCTTTTTAAATTAATTTTTGCGTTAACTGATAGCAGTCAAAGCTTTCCTATCTCCACTCTATTGTCTTGCGATACCCAACCGGAGGAACAGACAGTTTTGAAGCATTCATGAGAGAATAAGATTGAATGAGACTCTTGAGCGGAATAAGAATTGTTTGAAATCCAACTACCAATCTAAATTCATTACAATTTAGCAGGGGTGTACTCCTATATACAATGAATCCCTCGCGATCGCCGCCGAGTTATGATGGGAAAATATGACGCCTCTGATTGGCTAAATAGGCTAGTTGATGACTGATCCATATTAATCAACAAATTGACATCACGTCTCTGCCAACATCTCAGTACCAGGCAGACTCCTCCCTCAACTGATTTCTATCCCGATCGTCTCACGATTTAGGACTTTATCAGCAGTACAAAGTTTAACTATTACCTCATCCCTCCGTTGGTGGGATAGCCATTGTCGCTGTCACTATCCAACTGGGGCGTCCGTGATCGTTACCCCCGTTGTGGTGTGTGGCAAACGCACCGTAATCCCATTGACCTGCCTGAGCGTCTCAGCGCAAAGATTTCCATTTACCAGTTCTAGGATATCGTATGCGACAATCATAGGCATCAATATCCCGCCATGGTTTGCCCTATCACAGTTTCCAAGTTTGTGGGGACCATCTCCCTGGGCCTGTTAACCGTACGTGATGCGCCTGAAGGATTCACGCCCTTCGCGAGAGGGGTAAAAATCTACGCGGACTGACATATTTGTACGAATCAACTAATATAGGGCCTTTCATACGCCACCTCCATCATTTCCATACCATCTCTCCAAACTCTTCCCAACGCTTCGGCCGCATCCCGAACCCTCAAACAGCTACAACTTCGCACCAGCAATCATGTTCTTACGCTTAGTCACATCACTGCGATAGCTCTATTCACGGCATTCACTCTGTCTTCCCCTCGTAGAAGGCACCCGTATCTGATCTGGACGGCACTTACCTCCCTAATTGGCGGGGCAGGCCTGGAATGGTGGTACAAATACGACACAATGACATGGAGCTCTCTATCAGGTGGTCTTGGCCTTTGCTCTTGCCACCGACCCGGGTTTGGTGTTATTTCATGGAGTTTTGCTCGTGCTAATGCGGGAAGCTCCGTCTCAGTGAGAAGCGAGGAAGAAGACTCCAACGGAAACGGAAGCGAGATTGAAATTGTGGGTGATGAAGAAGCGTCATCCGCGGCTGCTGCTGGTTCCACAGCGCCGAACCCAGCGGCAAAGCAAGCAGAAGACGAGTTGAATATCAATGGAGAGGCTGTCCAAAGCGAGATGCAGCAGGAGCGCAAGCTCCAGAACCTGAGAATGTGGATCCTTGGCTTGGGGTTCTCCATGGGTGTAGTTGGGATTTGGGGAGAAGGTGCCTAAATCAATTCTCTGATGCTATGGCATGTCGTAATGCCACAGAGCGGAAGCAGGGGCAAGCTTGCTCCGCTCTTACTAAAAAGGATTATTATTTTTTTTCTGTCATGGCTTTTTCTACTCGATGGTCTCAGCCATGAGACGCCATTGCTCCCGGATGTCGTTCTTCGGATGTGATCGCATGCGCATCAATCCATCCCCCCATTATCGGACGAGGACCAAAATTCTACACAACCACCCTACTCATCTTCTTTCTCCTTTGTTGTACAAATTCGTTGTGCGTTCGGGAGTCTCAGGATGGGCAGCAAAAAAGAATGATAGGAATTAAAGAAACTGGTATGTGGTATGTGGTGTATGAGCGTAGCAGCAGCTGGGAATGATGGGGGCGTTTTATTTTTATTTTTCTCCGATTTGCTAAATATCTTCCGTTGCGCTTATTACATTACTTACATGGCACTCCCACCTATTTGTACGATTTGTCTCCGTGCTTTTATTATATAACGCTAAATCCTCTAATTCTTCCCTCTCCAATCTGTTTTTTAAACTTCCCTCAATTGCGGGGGCGAACGGGAGATGTTTCTTCAGCTTATCCGCCTATCTCGGTAGGTACATATGAG